TTAACAAATTATAAAAATATCAGTAAAATTGGAAGAACCGTTCTTTAGATATTAATAAAAAACAGATTTTAAAGAAAGTTTGTAGAATTTTATAATGGTCGAACGAAATCTACAGGGTCTACTACCATTCTCCAGCACCTGGAATTACTCTATTATCTGTAATAGGTCCAAAATATAGCTCAATAAACTATTAACAAATTATGAAAATCCCAGTAAAATCGGACAAAGTGTTCATTAAATATTAATAAAAAGACGAATTATATTTTAAGAAAGTATATAGAATTATTGTTTTATACAGAGATACGAAAAAATCCAACAGATAAAAAAGTTGTATTTTTAGAGTGGTCGAAAAAAATTTACAGGGTTTACTATCAATCTAGAGTTATACAGTGTACACCAAAAAACTCAATTTTTTTTTTTCAAGAAAAGCTATTTCAAAAGAAAGCAAAAAATGGAAAAGTTTATTAGATACGAAATTTGCTGTAACAGCTTATTATTAAATCATCAACCTGACATTTCGTTTCGATATTAGGGTTTAAAATATATAGCAATGTTTGTACATGATAAAAGAAGCACCCTGTATAAATAATATATTAAAAACGAAGCATTTTTTAGATAGAAATTCGCCCTACATATACTACCTAAAAAAATAGCACCCCCTACTTGTCATACCAATGGAAAGCTAGTAAAACTGTACAGGGTGATGTAGAAACTGCGTTTTTATGGTTCCATCGATTGAATAAAACGGACATATCTGGAATTTTGGCGTCTTATCCGGAATTTTTAGAAAATCATCAAGCATACTTAAAATCACGTATAAACAGTGCTTTTGGTCTTTTTTTGTGTTAAATATTTAATAGACAGTTGCTGTCTTGTATAGTTGTTTTGTTAACATTAATCAAAAATTCTATTTTAAACATGTTACATTTGAACTACTCGCTTTAATAACAGTAAACCTATATAAATATCGATTTTTAACGCCGGTAATTTATCAAAAAATACATTTTTTAATGCTGTACATTTGAACCACTCACTTTAATTGCCGATAATTTATCAAAAATCTCCATTTTTGATTGAACTACATATTGATGTATACCGTTAATTTATTAAAATTGATCCCTGAACTTGGTATATTTGAACTAATCACTTCATACCGTTAATTTATCAATAATACGACTTTTGAACTTGGTACATTTGAATTACCTGCTTTAAAAACAGTTAATTTCTCAGAAATTGAATTTTTTAATTCGATACATTTGAACTACTATTTAACGGCAGATTTTCTATCAAGATTAAAAAAGACTAGTAGGTATAAAAGGTATTTAAAAAAGTATGTAGATTTTTTTATACCCCAATCAAATATCAGCAAACCTGAATAATTTAGTAAAATCGAACAAAGCGTTCTTTAAATATTTATTAAAAAAAAATTGTATTTTTTTTTTAAGTGTGTAGAATTCTTTTTTATATATAATATGCCTACATTGCAAATATCCTAAACCGTAATAGTTATGTTGACGATTAAAAGGGAAAACAGTTGATTATTTTGAGGAACTTACTGTAGTAAAAAAAATCTACAGGGTCTACTACTATTCTCGAGTTATACAGTGAAAACCAAAAAATACCTTTTTTACTTTCCTATCTGTATACAGATATAAGGAAAGTATAGGAATCATGATTTTTTTCGACCTCGAGTTTTCGACGGATTTTTACGTTTTGAGGTCCCCTGAATCCGTTTTGACTATTTTCGCGATGATGTCTGTGTGTGTGTGTGTGTGTCTGTATAACGCATAACTCATGAACCGATACACAGAAAAATACCAAATTTTAAACTTAAGCTTTGTTTCAGCGTCCAATGAGCTGATTAGATTTTGGGCAGTGTCGGAACATCTGGGGGGGTACTTTATAGGTGGTCATTTTTATATTTTATGGAATATATCTGTTATTTACGTTTGGAGAAGAAAATTCTTCAAATAAAAGTTACTTCTAATATAATTATCTATAATTTTTGTTTTATGCAAAATTTTCCTAAAATGGTCCGTATTCGAGAAATTTGACAAAATGTAAAAAACATAATTTTTTATAAAAATTGTTCAAATAAAAGTTGTTTGTAATATAATTCTCTATAATTTTTGTCCTATACATAATTTCTCTAAAATGGACCGTATTCGAGATATTTGAGAAAATGTGTAAATTTCGAAATTTGAAGAAAACTCAAAAACGGATAAAGGAAAAAACATTAAATTTTAAACTTAAGGTTTATTTCGGCCTGACGTGAAATGATTAGATTTTGGACAAAGTCGGAACATCTGGGGGGGTACTTTATGGGAGGCCGTTTTTATATTTTATGGAATATATCTGTTATTTATGTTTGGAGAAGAAAATTGTTCAAATAAAAGTTACTTCTAATATTATTATCTATAATTTTTGTTTTATGTCAAAATTTCCTGAAATGGTCCGTATTCGAGAAATTTGACAAAATGTGCAAAATTCTGATTTTTATGAAAATTGTTGAACTAAAAGTTGTTTGCGATATCGATTTCTATAATTTTTGTTTATACATGATTTTTCTAAAATGGACCGTAATGGAAAAGTGCTAAATTTAAATTTTTCTGTATTTTCGTTTTCAATGAAAATCTATAGAAAAATGTTTCGAGGTAGATGTATGTGTAAAATGTATATATTTAGTTTATCCTCTAAACATTTATAGAGATGCTGCAATAGGTTGTACAAAATAACCGGAAAATGCCTATAATAACTAGATAGGAAAGTCATGTGTTGGACACATCAGATTTTTTATTTTAAAAATACGATTTTTTTTTATGAAAGTATGTAGAATTTTCTTGTCAGAGATACGAAAAAAATGCAAGAACTAAAAAAGTTGTATTTTTAGATGTATTATGTGGAAAAAATATGAAAATCTAAAAAATTTGCTGGGTGCCATTTTTTGCTTAAAAAAACTAAACTACATATCCAGTGGTCACGCCCCTGAAATTACTGAATCAATTGTAAAATATCCAAAAGACACTTCATTAAACTATTAACAAATAGTAAAAATATGAGTAAAATCGGGTAAAGCGTTCTGTAGATATTAACAAAAAACGAATTTTGTTTTTATGAAAGTATGTAGAATTTTTTTATGTGCCATCATTCGTAAACAAAGAGAGATACGAAAAAAATTCAAGAACTAAAAAAGTTGTATTTTTAGATGTATTATGTGGAAAAAATATAAAAATCTAAAAAAATTTACTGGGTGTTATTTTTTGCGTTTAAAAATTAAACGATTTACCCCGTGGGAACGCCCCTGGAATTACTAGACCAATTGTAAAAGTTCCAAAAGATGCTTTATTAAACTATTAATAAATTATAAAAATATCAGTAAAATTGGAAGAACCGTTCTTTAGATATTAATAAAAATAGATTTTAAAAGAAAGTTTGTAGAATTTTATAATGGTCGAACGAAATCTACAGGGTCTACTACCATTCTTCAGCACCTGGAATTACTCTATTATCTGTAATCGGTCCAAAATATACCTCAATAAACTATTAACAAATTATGAAAATCCCAGTAAAATGGGACAAAGTGTTCATTAAATATTAATAAAAAGTCGAATTATATTTTAAGAAAATATGTAGAATTGTTTTATCGTTTGCCAATATTCGCAAACAAAGAGATACGAAAAAATCCAACAGATAAAAAAGTTGTATTTTTAGAGTGGTCGAAAAAAATTTACAGGGTTTACTATCAATCTAGAGTTATACAGTGTACACCAAAAAACTCAATTTTTTTTTTTCAAGAAAAGCTATTTCAAAAGAAAGCAAAAAATGGAAAAGTTTATTAGATACGAAATTTGCTGTAACAGCTTATTATTAAATCATCAACCTGACATTTCGTTTCGATATTAGGGTTTAAAATATATAGCAATGTTTGTACATGATAAAAGAAGCACCCTGTATACATATATATTAAAAACGAAGCATTTTTTAGATAGAAATTCGCCCTCCATATCCTACCTAAAAATAGCACCCCCCTACTTGTCATACCAATGGAAAGCTAGTAAAACTGTTCTTCTACAGTTATAACCTATACAGGGTGATGTAGAAACAGCGTTTTTATGGTTCCACTGATTGAATGAAACGGACATATCTGGAATTTTGGCGTTTTATCCGGAATTTTTAGAAAATCATCAAACATATTTAAAATCACATATAAACAGTGCTTTTGGTCTTTGTTTTGTGTTAAACATTTAATAAACAGTTGTTGCTGTCTTGTTACATTTGAACTACTCGCTTTAATAACAGTTAATCTATATAAATATCGATTTTTAACGCCGGTAATTTATCAAAAAATACGATTTTTAATGCTGTACATTTGAACCACTCACTTTATTTGCCGAGAATTTATCAAAAATATCGATTTTTGATTGAACTACATGTTGTATACCATTAATTTATTAAAATTATGATCTCTAAACTTGGTATATTTGAATTAAATCACTTCAATACCGTTAATTTATCAATAATACGAATTTTGAACGTGGTACATTTGAACTACTTTAAAAACTGTTGATTTTTCAGAAATTGAATTTTTTAATTCGATACATTTGAACTACTCTTTTAAAAACGGCGAGAAAATTATTAAGACGTCTTATATTTAACGGCAGATTCTTTATCAAGATATTAAAAGACTAGTAGGTATATAAAAAAATCAGTAAAAATATTATATCGTTGCACTTTTCACCAATTTTAATGGCATATTTTGTATTAAGACAACAAGAATGCAAGGAGGTATGAATAATTTCTATTTCTACTCCTAGCTTCATAAAATTGGCGCAGCATTACAATAAACGATTTAAAATGTTTAGCTGGTGTCTTCTAGTCTTTATCTTCGATGATTTTTAAGAAATGGGCATCAATTTTTATTTTTTTTTTGTTATCCTTAGGGATTTTACAAACAAAAACTTCTACATCGGATATTCGAAATAAAACAAAAAATTAGTAATGTTAAAATTTATTAAATAATTACTTCAATGAGACGTATGAGAAATGTGTGAAATATAAAGCTAAAACGTAAATTGAACTGTTAAATAACACATTGGCTTGGCGTCGAGCTTTATGTCACTGTGTTCACCTGTAAAACAGAAAAAAGGAACTGATTATTATTTAAGGAAATAGGGATTTAAGCAATACTTGCCAAGGATTTTAATTGCAAAGTTCAAGGATCTTTTTTTTTTAATTTCAGCTCTAATAATGTCTATTTGGGGTCTTTGTGTTATCCAAAATCTTAAAATTAATCGAAATAGATAAGGATAATTTATAATAAAAAAAAAATTATGAATGTAGAATCCAAAATCTAATTTATTGCTTATTGAGACAGCAAGTTTGATTTTTCCCCAGATCTGGGGAAAAATAAGCTGCAATAGAGGAATGGTAACGTCGCTTTACGTACTAATGCCAGTTTTTCAACAAAATTCCGATGAAAAATTGCAACTTCGCGACTTAACATAACAGATGACATTGACTTACTTATTGTCACTTCATAAATATGTCATGTTAGTCACGATATTGCCATTTTTTTTCCTAATTTCTAGGGAAAAAAACGTATAGTGACTAACTGTACTTCTGATACAAAGCGACGTTGCCGTTTCTATATTGTCGTTTAGTTTTCCGTAAATCTAGGGAAAAATTAAACATAATATATATACTTACAATATCATCAATCTTCAATATGGATCTGACGGTTTCGGTGGCGAAACTCAGTGCCGAAGTGCTAACGAAAAGCGGTTGGACGACGTTTTCTTCGAGTATGTCCGTGATGGCGCCTTTGCGTACGTTAATGCCGGCAGAAGTCTCTCCTTTGGCGTGTCTGTTTCTCAATTCGGTAACCGTCTGAAACGTACACACAATATTTAATGTAGCGGTTGTTACATTTGAACTACTCACTTTAATACCGTTAAATTTATCAAAATAAGGATTTATAAATGTGTTACAATGGAAATACCAAGTTATATGATTGTTGAACTACTAACTCATCAAAATTGCGATTTAAAAAACTTGGTACATTTGAACTACTCACTGTAATCCCGGTAATTTATCAAAAATACGATGTTTGAACGTGGTACATTTGAACTAACCACTTTAATGTCTGTAATTTATCAAAACTACGCTAATTTCTACAGAAATGGAATTTTTAATGTGCTACATTTGAACTACTCACTGTAATAACCTATAATGTATCACCTATCATTTGATCTAGTGTTTGAGAGTTGATATTAAAAAATTATCTTTGAACATATTATATTTGAAATACTAGCTTTTATAACCGTTAATTCAGTAAAATAACGATTTTTAAACAAAGTACATTTGAACTACTAACTTTAATACAGTTAATTTATAAAAGTTATTATTTTTGAACATGATACATTTGAACAATGTCTGTAATTTATCAAAATCACGATTTCTGAAAGTGATACATTTGAACTACTTGCTTCAATAACAATTTATAAGTAAAAATCAATTTACGAACGCGGCACATTTGAGCTACCTACATTAATTCCAGTAACTTATCAAGATTACCATTTGTTAGTATTATGATTTCTGAACTTGGTACATTTGAACTATTTACTTTAATATCGTTAATTTATCAAAAATACGATTTTTAAACAAGGTACATTTGAACTAACTGTTTTAATAATTGTCAATTCTACAAAAATAGGTCGTTTACCGTGGTACATTTGAACTACTCACTGTAATAACCTATAGTTTATTTCGAATACAACTTTTGAACCTGGTATATTTGATTTACTGTTTGACAGTGTCTACGTAAATGTTTACTCATATATGGTACATTTGAACTACTCACTGTAATAACAGAAAATTTACTAGAAATGCGATATTTGAACTAATATTTCTGAACTATTCACTTAAGTTTTGGTGTCCTATCAGAAATAAAATATCTATTTTTTAATTTTGGACATTTAAAATACTAACTTTGCATTCCATTAATTTGTCAAAAATAAGACGTTTGAACTATTTTTGAGTGAGTACATTTGAACTAGTTACTGAAGTATCTGGTAAAACTCATTAGAAAAAAGATAACCCTATTTTTAAACATATATTTAAACTACTCACTTTGATAACAGCTAATTTATAAATAATATCACTTTTTGAATGAGATACATTTGAACTACCCACTTTAATAACATTAATTTATCAAAAAATCGATTGTGAAGTATTATTTCTGAAAGTGGTACACTTAAACTACTCACTTAAATATCTGGTAACTGGTCACATAATCCTATTTATGAAGTTGGTAAATTTTAACTACTTGCTTCAATACTGGTTAATTTATAAAAAAATATATATTTTTGAATGGGGTACATTCAAACTATTTCTAAAATTGGTACATTTGAACTATTTATTTAAGTATCTAGCAATTCTTCAGAAATAAGATAACCTATTTTTGAACTTGATACATTCTAACTACTCGCTTTAAAACTAGTAGTTCATATGTAAAATTAGGATTTCCTACTTTCTGATGAAATATTTAAGTAATTAGTAGTTCAAACGTATTTCTGATTAAATAAATTTTGTATTAACTAATTATTTCATCAAACATGCGATGTTCAGACTATTTTTGATAGTATGTTTGGTCCACTATTTTTGAATTATACACATTTAATCCACCATTTTAAACACTGGTAGATGTAAATTACCCAGACAACACACCAAATCCCAGAGATATCCACAGAATATATTTTGTGGATATCCAATATATCCACAGGATATCAGAAATATTCCGTGGAACTAATATGGATATTCAAATGTCCGTCTATATCCAGAATATAGAATATATCCTATGGATATTCAGCAAAATATCTAATGAGTATCTCCAGACAATACAAGAAATCCCAGATATATCCATAGAATATATTTTGTGGATATCCAACCAAATGTCCGTCTATATCCCAGGATATAGAAATTCAGATAAATATTTTATAATTATTTTTAGTAGAGGTTCATAAGTAACCAATGGTTATTGAATAACGTCGAAAGAAAATAGAGGTAAAAAATATTCCCAACAATCTGCCTTTGATTTTGCCTACTAAGGAGAAAATCATCCTTATTAGGAATCTTCAGCAATAAATGGAACTTTTCGACTTCAGTCTCTAATGAAGTCTGTTTGTGAAACAATGTCGATCAAACTCAATTACGGCGGGTTAAGCATGAGTAGATACGAAAGTGGTATCGCCATCTATACTTAGGAAGCAAAATCAAAAATTACATCTAGTAGATATCCACGATGGTTTGCGTCCGCGCTTAGACTTTGATATATTTATATTTATAGTGGGATATTGAATACACCTTAAAAAAAATTAATTTTAAATATCTCAACGGTACTATTAGCCACAATGGCGAGTACAATGGCGTAATTTTTTAATAATTTGCTATATAATTACAATTATTTATGGACATTTGCATGTCTATAAATTACATTTCATGGATATAAAATAGATATCCACCATGGACTGGACATTCAGTGGATATTGGGATGTTCAGTAGATATCCAAAGGATTTGGTGTGCTGTCTGGGTACTCACTTAAATATCTGTAAATTCATCAGAAATAAGATAATCCTAATTTTAAACATGGTACATTTAAACTACTAACTGTAATAACTGCTACTTTATATAAAAAAAAAAAAAATTAAACACCCTACACTTAAACTATTCACTTTAACAATCGTCAATTTATCAGAAATAGGTAATTTAATGAGGTACATTTGAACTATTCACTGTAACAACAGATATTTTCATCAGAAATATCTTTAAACTATTTTTAAAAGTGGTATATTTGTTCTATTTTTGAACTTGATACAATTGATCTACTCGCTTTAATGACAGTTAATTTATATAAAAGGAAAAAAAAATCGATTTTTGGACAAGGTATATTTGAACTACTCACTTTATTACCATTAATTTATTAAAAATACGATTTTTGAAAGTGGTACATTTGAACTACTCACTTTTAATACGGTTAAATTTATCAAAATTATGATTTTTAAAAATGGTACAATTGAACTACTAAGTCATATTACTAACAATTATTTATAAATAAAAACTAAATCATAATCAAAGTCAAAATTCAAATTCCTATTTATGCTCTTTCAATTTTGCTAAAAGTAAAATAAACAAAATGTTTTAACTCAATTTTTTTCAACATTTGTATTTTTGAGATGTGTCATTATTGCCCCCTCTCTGCTGTTATCAAAACGAGTAGAATTAAAAATATCCTTTATAACTATGCCAATATTTACCTGAATAGGATTCAACCCAGCATTCTCAGCCAACGTAAACGGAATAATTTCCAAAGCATTGGCGTACGCTCTAGTACATATAGCGTCGATACCATCCAACTTATTCGCCAAAGCAGCCAATTTAAGCGCCACTTCGATCTCCGGAGCACCCCCGCCAGCGATAAGCGCTTTCTTGCGAACGAGACAACGAATGACGCAAAGAGCGTCGTGCAAAGATCTTTCGGCCTCTTCCAGAACCAATTTATTCGAGCCTCGAACCAGCAAGGTTACAGTACGGCCCGCGTTCTGAGCACCTGTAATTTTAACCATTCTGTTACCGCCTACGCCTACCTCTTCGACTAAATCGGCGCCGACCAAATTTTCGGTCGTAAAATGATCCAAAGAAGCGATGGGGCGACAACCCAACGATTTGCATACGAATTCGATGTCCTCCCGTTCGATATCCTTGACGACCATGCATTTGATTTTGTCCAAAAAGTGGAGGGCTAGATCTGAAACGGCGTCTCTGAGAATTGACTTTTGAACCTAAAGAAGGTATAAGAAGAAATATTTATCAAAAAAATTATTATTATAATTTTCTTACCAAAAGAACATTACATCCAGCTTTCTTAATCTGCTTGACTATATTCAAAATGTAAGCTCTCTCCTCTTTCAAAACTCTATCCATCGCGGCGTAATCGGATATTATGACGTTATGGTCCATGTCGGTTTTTGGTGGTGAAATGCAGAATTGTATTAAACCGATTTTGGCCTTTTCGATTCTTTTTGGGCCAGATACGTTTGCGGATCTTTGCGAGAAGACGATTCCTTCAACTAATTCAGTGTCTTCGACCGTTCCTCCTAATTGTTTGATTACTTTTATGTCTTCTAAGTTGCAAGCTTCTTCGTGGCCTATTAAAGAAATAATATTACGTACCATTTTTAAGCTATTGCATAGCTTTTATAGCCCGACAGAATAAAAAAAACGAAACCGTAACGAAAAAACATAACACCCCCACTCCGACCGGCACAGCGGTGCGGCGTTAAAACAATTTTAACTTCTCATTTATTCAATAAAAGTAAATCGAAAAACCGAAAAATCTAAAAATCAAAAAATCAAAAAATCGAATAATCAAATATTAGAAAAATCGAAAAAGAAATTCCGTAACGAAAATAAACCTAACACCCTCCACTCCGACCGGCACAGCGGTGCGGCGTTGAAAGCCGTGCATCGTCCAACGTCGTTTTAGTTCGGCAGACTTCGGCACGGTGTTTGTGTGCGTGCGCCTAGACGTATGCGTGTAGACTAGCTGCTAACTGCTCATAACTGATTCTATCTCTTTTAGACACAATTTCGGAAAAATTGAATTTGAAAATGAATAATGATCCACAAGAATCCACAACAAAATATGGGACCACCATTGACGCGGTATTTTCCAGATATTTAGATGATATGAAGTCTCTAACTTATGTTTCTTATTTCAGTTACCATAAACTTATAGTTTCAATGATAAAAATTCCTGAATAACCTACATGTATTGTAAGATAATAAAAATATTGTAAAGAATATTAACTTCTCATTTATTCAAAAGAAAAAAAATTGTTTTCTTATTGGTCACCACGCTCAAAAAGTGTAATTTGAATTAATATCAAAGAAAAAACTTGAATTAATATCAAAGAAAAAAAAATACTGCATAAATAAAATAAATAAATAAATAATTATAATTGCATAAGTTGATAAAAAATGCTATGCAATAGCTTTACCGCGGCAGTCCCCGAGTGCCACACGTGCTTTTTATTAAATTTAATTTACTGGTAAACAATGCTGGTAATTGTTTTTTTGGAGACAAACATTTTTTGATAGTGGTATATTTGGTCTATTTTTGTACTTGATACATTTAAACTACTGTCTGATAAATTAACAATTATTGAAGCCAGTAGTTCAAATGAACACCGTGTAAAATCAGGATTACCCAATTTCTGATAAATTAATAGATATTTAAGTGAGTAGTTCAAGTTTACCACTGTCAAAAGCAGTAGATTAACTGTATTATAGTTCTGATTAAATTATCAGTTATTGCAACGAGTAGTTCAAATGTAACAAGTTAAAAATCATATTTATGATAAACAGTTAAAATGCATATTGATAAATTAATGGGTATTAAAAATAGTAGTTCATATATGTATCTCTTCCAAAATTGGGATTACTTTTCAAAAACAGATTAAATGTATCAAGTTTAAAAATGGTAGTTCAAATATCATTGTGCTGATTAAATTATCAGTTATTAAAAGATTGGTTCACACATAACATGTTAAAAATCACATTTATAATAAACAAACAGTTAAAATAAATAGTTCAAGTATATATCACTTAAAAAATCTTTTTATAAATAAGGTTATTAAAACTAGTAGTTCATATGTACCTCTCCCAAAATTAGGATTTCCTGCTTTCTGATGAGTTAACAGATATTTAACTAGTAGTTCAAACGTATTTCTGATTAAAAATCAAGTAATTACAAAGAATAGTTTAAATGTACCCTGTTGAAATTCCTTTTTCTGACAATTTAACTGTTGTTAAAGTTAATAGTTCAAATGTTACACCATGGAGGAAGGATAATTAAGAGTTGCCGTTTCTTTGTATAAATATGGCAACATGTTTGCCTTCAGCGACATGTGGGATAGTTTTGTGCAACTAATTCTCAGTCGGTAATATAAAAAGCTGTAATGCTATTTTAATTTGAAAATTGGCGGGCTTTTTAATTTACTTCGACAAAATATAAGAATTTTACATTTTTAATAGCATTTTTTAACACGCATCTCAGGCGTGTTAAAAAATGCTAATAAAAATGTAAAATTTTATGTTAAATAATTTTAGAGGTAAAAAATAAATAGGTAATACAAAATTGTATTATAACTAAATATTATTTGTTGAATGTTGAATCTTTATTGGTTACAACAATAAACATAATATATATTTTCTGAATAAACAACTATTTTAAATAACAAAACGAACTAAATTTTTCTTTAATCGTGCGAAATAAAACAAGAGTTCCATCCATAAATCCTGAAAAGAAAAAAAAAAACAATTGTTGAAAGCGAAAAACTTCCTAAAGCACATGATTTTGATTGTATGTGACTAATTACTTTTGCATTTGCAGCGATTTAACTAATTTTTAATTTACTACTTCTAATTTCTATAACGTCTAATTAAGATTTTCTTGCTTTATGTAATGAAAATACTTTAGATTTATAAAGATTAAAAAGTTTGGTTATAATACATACAATTAAATTGGCATATCTAGGATAATTATCAAAATGAATATCAGAATTAAAAATTTGTTAAAGATTTCAATATTTGGGGATAATACAATTACGAATACGAATAATAATCCTTTTTTCAGTTGACAATAAAATGAAAATGTTTCTTCTAAAACAGTGTAAATGGGCCAGAACAATTTACTATTACAATCAAATATATGCATTTATAGGACATAGACATGCAAAAGTATCAAAATAAGTTTACTTACAGTAAATTATTACTAAATTTATGCCTAAAACTGTATTAAATAAAAGTAAAACTCAGAATTGTTTACATCGACAGCCATATTGTATTTTGTATCATTCGGCATTCGGGTTTCGTTTATCGAGTCGACTCGAGCTTTAACGAGATTTGGGTTTTGTTATCCAAAGCCAGGTTTACATTGTACAAATAATTGAATAAATTCATATTTTTTCAATTTTACGATTGATAAATTAAAAATATGTGAAACTATTACTTTTGGCAAGTTAATAACACGCTTATGTTTATTTTTATTGAGATATTTTGTAATTATTCTGTTTTCTTTATATTTTATATATAATTGTGTTATTGTAAAACGGACGTACGCCAGTTTCGATGCGCAGTAACTTGTTGACAAAATGCGCATATGCTATAAACCCCCGTGTGTTACACGTTAAAGAATCATAAATCATGTAATCACAATTTTGGACATGGTCATTTGAACTACTATCTTTAATAATCGTTTATTAACTCATCAGAAATAGGATTTTTAATGTGGTATATATGAACTATTATCTGTAATAACTAATGATTATTTCATCAGAAATGCGATGTTTGGACTATTTTTGAAAGTAGTGTTTGATCTACTATTTTTGAATTTCTACTGTTTTAAACACTGGTAGATGTGAATTACTCACTCAGAAATCTTAATTTTAGACATGGTACATTTAAACTACAACTCTAATAACTTACTTTATAAAAAAATATAAACATCCTACACTTAAACTATTCACTTTAACAATTGTCAATTTATCAGAAATAGGTTATTTAATGAGGTACATTTGAACTATTCACTGTAACAACTGATATTTTCATGAGAAATACGTTTGAACCTGATATATTTGATTCACTGGTTTTTGTCAGTAGTACACTTGAACTACACACATCAGAAATCAGGTAATCCTAATTTTGAGTGCAACATTTGAAATACTAGCTTTAATAACAATTAATTTATTTAAAATACCATTTTAATGTGTTACTTGTGGTACATTTGAACTACTCACTGTAATAACTGATATTCTAATCTGGTTGAGCATTTTTTGGACAGTGGTAGACTTGAACTACTCACTAAAATATCTGTTGTTAACTTATCAGAAATAAAACAAACCTAGTTTTGGGCACGGTACATTTAAACTACCCTAACTTTAATAGCCGTTAATTTGTTAAAAATAAAACTTTAAAATATGGTACATTTGATCTACTATTTAAAATACTAGCTTTAATAACCATTCATTTATTAAAAACACCATTTTATAATGTGATACTTGTCGTACTTTTGAACTACTCACTGTAATAACTGATATTCTAATCTGGTTGAGCAATTTTTAATCTGTTTTTGACAGTCGTAGACTTGAACTACTAACTAAAATATATGTTGTCAAGTCATCAGAAATAAACAAACCTAGTTTCGGACACGGTACATTTGAACTACTCTAACTTTAATAACCGTTAATTTGTTAAAAATCTAACTTTAAAATATGTTACATTTGATCTACTATTTAAAATACTAGCTTTAATAACAAGTAATTTATTAAAAACACCATTTTATAACGTGTTACTTGTGGTACTTTTGAACTACTCACTGTAATAACTGATATTCTAATCTGGTTGAGCAATTTTTAATCTGTTTTTGACAGTGGTAGACTTGAACTACTAACTAAAATATATGTTGTCAAGTCATCAGAAATAAACAAACCTAGTTTTGGACACGGTACATTTGAACTACTCTAACTTTAATAACCGTTAATTTGTTAAAAATCTAACTTTAAAATATGGTACATTTGATCTACTATTTAAAATACTAGCTTTAATAACCATTCATTTATTAAAAACACCATTTTATGTGATACTTGTGGTACTTTTGAACTACTCACTGTAATAACTGATATTCTAATCTGGTTGAGCAATTTTTAATCTGTTTTGGACAGTGGTAGAACTATTCACTAAAATATATGTTGTTAACTCACCAGAAATAAAACAAACCTAGTTTTGGACACGGTACATTTGAACTACTCTAACTTTAATAACAGTTAATTTGTTAAAAATACAACTTTAAAATATGGTACATTTGATCTACTATTTAAAATACTAGCTTTAATAACCATTAATTTATTAAAAACACCATTTTATAATGTGATACTTGTGGTACTTTTGAACTACTCACTGTAATAACTGATATTCTAATCTGGTTGAGCAATTTTTAATCTGTTTTGGACAGTGGTAGAACTATTCACTAAAATATCTGTTGTTAACTCATCAGAAATAAAACAAACCTAGTTTTGGACACGGTACATTTTTGAACTACTCTAACTTTAATAACAGTTAATTTGTTAAAAATACAACTTTAAAATATGGTACATTTGATCTACTATTTAAAATACTAGCTTTAATAACCATTAATTTATTAAAAACACCATTTTATAACGTGTTACTTGTGGTACTTTAGAACTATTCACTGTAATAACTGATATTCTAATCTGGTTGAGCAATTTTTAATCTGTTTTTGACAGTGGTAGACTTGAACTACTAACTAAAATATATGTTGTCAAGTCATCAGAAATAAACAAACCTAGTTTTGGACACGGTACATTTGAACTACTCTAACTTTAATAACCGTTAATTTGTTAAAAATCTAACTTTAAAATATGGTACATTTGATCTACTATTTAAAATACTAGCTTTAATAACCATTCATTTATTAAAAACACCATTTTATGTGATACTTGTGGTACTTTTGAACTACTCACTGTAATAACTGATATTCTAATCTGGTTGAGCAATTTTTAATCTGTTTTGGACAGTGGTAGAACTATTCACTAAAATATATGTTGTTAACTCACCAGAAATAAAACAAACCTAGTTTTGGACACGGTACATTTGAACTACTCTAACTTTAATAACAGTTAATTTGTTAAAAATACAACTTTAAAATATGGTACATTTGATCTACTATTTAAAATACTAGCTTTAATAACCATTAATTTATTAAAAACACCATTTTATAATGTGATACTTGTGGTACTTTTGAACTACTCACTGTAATAACTGATATTCTAATCTGGTTGAGCAATTTTTAATCTGTTTTGGACAGTGGTAGAACTATTCACTAAAATATCTGTTGTTAACTCATCAGAAATAAAACAAACCTAGTTTTGGACACGGTACATTTTTGAACTACTCTAACTTTAATAACAGTTAATTTGTTAAAAATACAACTTTAAAATATGGTACATTTGATCTACTATTTAAAATACTAGCTTTAATAACCATTAATTTATTAAAAACACCATTTTATAACGTGTTACTTGTGGTACTTTAGAACTACTCACTGTAATAACTGATATTCTAATCTGGTTGAGCAATTTTTAATCTGTTTTTGACAGTGGTAGACTTGAACTACTAACTAAAATATATGTTGTCAAGTCATCAGAAATAAACAAACCTAGTTTTGGACACGGTACATTTGAACTACTCTAACTTTAATAACAGTTAATTTGTTAAAAATACAACTTTAAAATATGGTACATTTGATCTACTATTTAAAATACTAGCTTTAATAACCATTCATTTATTAAAAACACCATTTTATGTGATACTTGTGGTACTTTTGAACTACTCACTGTAATAACTGATATTCTAATCTGGTTGAGCAATTTTTAATCTGTTTTGGACAGTGGTAGAACTATTCACTAAAATATATGTTGTTAACTCACCAGAAATAAAACAAACCTAGTTTTGGACACGGTACATTTGAACTACTCTAACTTTAATAACAGTTAATTTGTTAAAAATACAACTTTAAAATATGGTACATTTGATCTACTATTTAAAATACTAGCTTTAATAACCATTAATTTATTAAAAACACCATTTTATAATGTGATACTTGTGGTACTTTTGAACTACTCACTGTAATAACTGATATTCTAATCTGGTTGAGCAATTTTTAATCTGTTTTGGACAGTGGTAGAACTATTCACTAAAATATCTGTTGTTAACTCATCAGAAATAAAACAAACCTAGTTTTGGACACGGTACATTTTTGAACTACTCTAACTTTAATAACAGTTAATTTGTTAAAAATACAACTTTAAAATATGGTACATTTGATCTACTATTTAAAATACTAGCTTTAATAACCATTAATTTATTAAAAACACCATTTTATAACGTGTTACTTGTGGTACTTTAGAACTACTCACTGTAATAACTGATATTCTAATCTGGTTGAGCAATTTTTAATCTGTTTTTGACAGTGGTAGACTTGAACTACTAACTAAAATATATGTTGTCAAGTCATCAGAAATAAACAAACCTAGTTTTGGACACGGTACATTTGAACTACTCTAACTTTAATAACCGTTAATTTGTTAAAAATCTAACTTTAAAATATGGTACATTTGATCTACTATTTAAAATACTAGCTTTAATAACCATTCATTTATTAAAAACACCATTTTATGTGATACTTGTGGTACTTTTGAACTACTCACTGTAATAACTGATATTCTAATCTGGTTGAGCAATTTTTAATCTGTTTTGGACAGTGGTAGAACTATTCACTAAAATATATGTTGTTAACTCACCAGAAATAAAACAAACCTAGTTTTGGACACGGTACATTTGAACTACTCTAACTTTAATAACAGTTAATTTGTTAAAAATACAACTTTAAAATATGGTACATTTGATCTACTATTTAAAATACTAGCTTTAATAACCATTAATTTATTAAAAACACCATTTTATAATGTGATACTTGTGGTACTTTTGAACTACTCACTGTAATAACTGATATTCTAATCTGGTTGAGCAATTTTTAATCTGTTTTGGACAGTGGTAGAACTATTCACTAAAATATCTGTTGTTAACTCATCAGAAATAAAACAAACCTAGTTTTGGACACGGTACATTTTTGAACTACTCTAACTTTAATAACAGTTAATTTGTTAAAAATACAACTTTAAAATATGGTACATTTGATCTACTATTTAAAATACTAGCTTTAATAACCATTCATTTATTAAAAACACCATTTTATAATGTGATACTTGTACTTTTGAACTACTCACTGTAATAACTGATATTCTAATCTGGTTGAGCAATTTTTAATCTGTTTTTGACAGTGGTAGACTTGAACTACTAACTAAAAGATATGTTGTTAACTCATCAGAAATAAAACAAACCTAGTTTTGGACATGGTACATTTGAACTACTCTTAACTTTAATACTAGTTATTTGTCAAAAATACAACTTTTAAATGTGGTACATTTGAACTATTTACTCTAATACAGAGTTCATCAGAAATATGTTTGAACTAGTATTTTTTGAAAGTGGTATATTTGATCTACTATTTAAAATACTAGCTTTATTAACCATTAATTTATTAAAAATACCAATTTTTAATGTGTTACTTGTGGTACATTTGATCTACTATTTAAAATACTAGCTTTATTAACCATTAATTTATTAAAAATACCAATTTTTAATGTGTTACTTGTGGTACATTTAAACTACTCTCTCTAATACCAATTTCATCGCAAATATGTTTGAACTAGTATTTTTGAAAGTGGTATATTTGATCTACTATTTAAAAGGCTAGCCTTATTAACCATTAATTTATTAGAAATATCATCTTTTAATGTGTTACTTGTGGTACATTTGAACTATTCACTGTAATAACTGATATTAATCTGTTTTTGACAGTAGAAGACTTGAACTACTAACTAAAATATCTATTGTTAACTCATCAGAAATAAAACAAACTTAGTTTTGGACACGGTACATTTGAACTACTCTAACTTTAATAATCAGTTATTTTTATACAAAATACAACTTTTAAATGTGGAACATTTGAACTATTCACTCTAATACCAGTTTTATCAGAAATATTATGTCTGAACTAGTATTTTTTGAAAGTGGTATATTTGATCTACTATTTTTGAACCTGATTTTCAACAAGGGTACATTTGAACTAATCACTTAACTCATCAGAAATGAGGCACTATTTTTTAATGTTGTACATTTGAACTACTTCATAAGATACACAAATTTAATTTTAAATATTTTACTCTTACGTTTAAAACAGACTATTGATATATTCTCTGAAACCAAACCTGTCATAAAGACCTAATTTTTTTATTAGAAGTTAACCAAAGTGTAATTCTATGAACCAAAGACAGTATTAATATAGTTATACTACATTTAAGTCCTATATTTACTATAATTTTCACATAGTGCCAAGAAACAAACCATTACATCAATAATAAAAGATAAAAATTATGAAATCATTCACAACTTACCAGGTTCAACAATTTTGAGTACTGCATCAACAGCTAACGGTCCCAATAGACTAGAATGCTGTGATACAACTTTAGAATTTAAGGAAGTAGAAGCACTTTTGATTAACAATTCCCTATTTGTAATTTCTATTGGTGTAGAAATACCATTCAATATCTAAAAAAACACAGATTAGCAATGCTCAAAAATGGATTTATTTTGATCCTTACTTCTACTGCTAAAAGAGCTGCTCTTTGGAAAGATTCTGAAATGGCAGTTGGGTGGATTCCTCTGTGCAACAATTTTTCAGCAGCGTCCAAAAGGGCACCGGCAATTACTACGACTGAGGTGGTACCGTCACCAGCTTCAATGTCTTGAGCTCTTGAAAGTTCGACCAACTAAAAGGATTTAATTTATATTTATTTAATTCTAAATAATCATCAAAGATTTTACCATTTTAGCAGCAGGATGTATAACATTGATTTGCTTTAAAATAGTAGCTCCATCGTTTGTTATTGTCACTTCACCATTACCAGCTTGTATCTAAAATAGAATATTATATAAAAATACTCGTTATTGTTTAATTATAACAAATTAATACCATTTTATCCATTCCCCTGGGTCCAAGACTTGTACGAATAGCATCGCAAACAGCTGAAAATTAAAGACCGTTATTAAGAAAATCGGTGAAAATTTAGGTAAAAATATGAACTAGGTACTGAAGAAAAACGTTGAAAATTTCATAAAAACTAATTTTCAAACTGTATTATTAATTTGTTATAAAGAAATACCTTTTGCGGCGTTAATATTACTAGTTCGGACATCGGCGGGTTTACTTTTGTCTTTGTAAGCAAGAGTTCTTCCTCTGGCATCTCCACCGGCAGCAGGAGCAGTCATTTTATTTGATTTTATGTGTTTGTTTCGAAATTATTAATTCCTGAAGGGGATGTTTTTGGATTTATTTAAATAAAAATAAACACTCCCAAGAACCAATTTTATTTTGACTGAACGAACTGTCAACTGTCACGTGAAATGTCAAAATCAAAAGGTTTGCGAGTTGAGTTTGCGCAATGAATTCTAGAAAACATTAAAGAAATGGACTGGGTTAAAACGAGAAAGAAACGATAGGAACCAACTCATTAAAATTTTTATTATTTAAAATATAATTAGTATTTTCACATATTTTATAAACAAATAAAACTAAACTAGCAGCACGCAATTGCGACCCGCTTTTCGTAGTCTTATTTATATTTGAGTGAACAACCTATATAACTATATATCATTGGTTGGGAAATGAGAACAGTGGCGTACTGTATTACTGTCTTAAGGGCGAAAACTTGTCAATTTAATATGAAATGTTTAAATGAGTGTGAAACATATGGTATGAAATGATTGTCATGGAGGAAAACAGCATAACTAAAAGAGTTGTATTTATTAGATCTGCAGGACATAGTGTGAGATAAAGCTAACGAAGACGATGTGGTTTTGAATCAGCTTCAATTACCGAACTCACCGTTTGCAGAACTATTACGTCAATTGTCAAATGTCAAACTATATTATGACATTTGTCAAAAGAATGTAAAATATAATTTGCATAAACAGAAATTTTACGAAATTTGTTTATAAATGAAACTTTTCACAAATCGTTCCTATTTCTAATAAACACCATGGAGGTGCAAGTAGAGACTGCAGTGCGCGTGTGCCCCCTCGAATACAATAACGGGGAGATGGTTTGCGTTCAAACAAACCCCTTAAACCACACAGTGCAACTAAACAATCAAGTTTACCCAGTGAATTACGCTTTGCCGATAAATTGTTGTCAAAATACAGTATTTTCTACGACCGTAATGCCAATGGTTAACCTGCTACTCGATGGTTGTGATGTTTCAATAGTAACCATCGGTCAATCAGGTTCTGGTAAAACCTACACTTTATACGGTCCTGGGTTCCATTTCGCTGCTAGCGAAAGCGAACACGGGATAATACCTCGATTTATCAGAGAGGTATTCAACAAGGTCGTACAATATAGGGATAGAAGTTATTCAATTCACATAACTTGGTCTCAGATATGTGGTGAAACCGTACAAGATCTAATCGGGGGCTGTAGCGTAGAATGTATGGGAATACTGGATGCTTTTAGGCATATACAGATGGGTTTGAGTAATTTAACTTCTAAAGGGGCGCATTCGTTGTTTACTTTAACTTTAGAGCAGCAGTGGGTGATTGATTCTACTGTACAGCATAGAATTTCGACTGCAAGTTTTGCGGATTTGGCAGGTATGAAATCATTTGTCATTGCTTTTATTAGTAAAAAATTAGGACTGTCTTTGACCCATATTTCTCAATTTTCTCATAAGTAACTGATAAACATTCAAGCATTTAATATGCAGATCAATTTAAGATCATTGCATCTAGACATTGATGTTTGCTTGGGCTCTATTGTATACAGTGTGTATCATAGGTGTTGTCTCCTATTTACCCTTATTGACTATGACAAAATTTTAGAGAAATATCACACTTGATTTGGGCAGCAAGGAAGTTTTTAATTCTCTATTTAAAGTTGTATATTTTCCACAACAGTTGAGTTGATTTATTGACAGGAAAACCTGAGGAGCATAGAAAAAATTTTGAAATATATTTGCTGCATAATGTAATTGTAAATTCCATTAATTATATTATACATAAAAGAGATTAACATCAATCTTCTTTTCTCCAGTTGATCCAAATTGAATAATTTTAATTTTTTTACAAATAAATGTATTTAGAAGTCATGCTATTTATTGATTTATTATCTTCTTAATGAATTCTAATGTACATACTGAATTATATTTGAAATTTTATGTTAAATGCTATTTTGAGACAGTAATGTTTGTCCCCTTTATTTTCCTACTATCATTTAGATTGTGGGTCGTACCATCTTTATAGAATGTCTATAAAATCCAACTAGAATTGAAACTTGAGAGGTATATGCTTTATTTGCAGGTGGTGAGAAAGTAATGATGTATGATACAAATGGTTTCATGCAGACTCTACCCATAGATCCTGGTTTGAGAGCTTTACAACAATGCATACTTACTTTATCTGAGCCTTACATCAACCAACTAAACTTTGATCAGGTGCCTTTTAACCAATCTGTTCTAACAACTTTACTCAGAGATTCATTCGGAGGCAGAGCAAAGACTTTAGTGATGTGTTGTATATCTCCTTTGATTCAAGACTTTGCTGAAACTTTATACTCCTTACAGTTAGCACTGAGATGTAGATTGATTAAAAATATTGTTACTGTAAACTCTTACATCACCTATGAAGCTATTCAAGATAGTTTAGACGTATTTGGACTACAATTTGCTGCTAATCAGTTGTTCAAATTAGTGTCCAATGCAGAAGAGCTGTTCCAAAAGTTGGTGCTCAATGGTGGATTGCATCAAGCTGAAGTGGATCAAATTTCGCAATGGTTGACTTTGAAACAGGAGTGTGAGGAATGTCTGAGTGAGAATTCTGAACCACATAGATCTTTAGAACGAATAGAAGAGGAAATTGAAGATAGTTCTGAAAGTATCGTGAGCGATAGTGAGAGTATTTTAGAGGAGGAGGAATCTCAAACTTTGCTGGAAAAATTGGATGTACTTATGGATAGTTTTAAATCCACTACTGATCATATTATCTCTGAGTCTAATATAGTTGATAGCGTCAGTTCTGATGATACTAAGGATACTCCAAATAGTTCTAGTCATACCTACCATTCTAAAGGTAATTATAATTGATATTTAATAATATTTATATGTTAGAGGACAATATCACAATATTTTACTAGGTGCAAGCTTGTCGAGATTTATTGCAAATTTAAACAATGCTGTTGATCAGAAAATTTTGAAAAAATCTAAATTTACTTTTTTCGACTTTTCTGTCTATATTATTGTCTTTTTTTGTATTGTTACCTCTAATAATTGGCTTACTATATGAATACATAAGTCTCAATATCCTTTAGTAACTTTTTTCAGATATATAATGGTACTCGCGAACATTTTCCAGATTATACAGTAGATGAATCTGTAAAATGTTCAGAGAAATTAATGAAAGTTTTAGACAGTACAGTTTATTAAGCATTAAAAAAGGAGTATAGAAAATAAATAAGAAAGATCTAATAAAAAACAAAGGAAAAACGTAAACAAATAATTTTAGAAGATTACGTTAAACACGCGATTCGGCAAATAATTAATTTGTTTTTTATGTGTAATGAAATCCCCACTGTGTCAAGTCTTAAAATGTACACTATGTCAAATACATTTTCGTTATTTTAAGAGAAAACAGGATAGTGCACTATTATGCACATTCTTGAAATGTTTCCATTAGAACGATCGATTCTTTTGTACAATCGATTATTTTTTTAAGTCAGTAATTTTTTTTAATCTGTTATTTTTTACAATCCTTTTTTTACTATAATACTTTTTACAATCGATTTATTTTACAAACGATTCTTTTTTATAATCGATTTATTTTACAAACGATTCTTTTTTATAATCGATTTCTTTTTACAATCGATTCTTTTTTACAATCTATTCGTTATACAATCGATTCTTTTTTACCATCGATCCTTTTATAGTATAATACTTTTTACAATCGATTCTTTTTATTGTCGATTTTTTACATTAGATACTTTTATATTCAATAATTTTACTTTTTTTTTCCATAGTTACATAATATAAACAATACTTTTTGTAATCGATAATTTTTGTAATAGTTTTTTTAAATCGATTCGTTTTTACAATCGATTCGTTTTTACAATTGATTCCTTTTCACAATCGATATTTTTTTTAATATATTTCTTAAATAGACTCATTTTACAATCGATTATTTTTTACAATCGATTTTTTAAATCAATTTTTTACAATCGATTTCTTTTTCAGTCGATTTCTTTTTCAGTCGATTCTTTTTACGATCGATTCTTTTTTAAATCGATTCTTTTTACAATTAAACTATAATTTTGAGTATAAAAATTGAAGGCTGGAAATGATTTTTATAATTTATGGTATAACGTAATCGATTATTTTTTATAATCGATTTCTTTTTAAATCGATTCTTTTTTACAATCGAATTGATTCTTCTTTGCAATTGATTCTTTTTTACAATCTATTCTTTTTTCGATTGATTCTATTTACAATCGTTTTTTTTTAGAATCGATTCTTTTGTATATCGATTCATTAATTAATTCAATAATTTTTTTAAATGTATTTTTTTCAGTCGATTCGTTTTTACAATCGATTCGTTTTTAGAACCGATTCGTTTTTACAATCGATTTGTTTTTACAATTGATTCCTTTTTACAATCGATTATTTTTTACAAGCGATATTTTTTGCATCGATTATTTTTTCTACTCCTTTTTTATAATCGATGCCTTTTTTGCAGTCGTTAGCGTTATGTACTCTTTTTTCGTTTCACAATCGATAATTTTTTAAAATATATTTTTTTCAATCGATTCTTTTTTACTATTGATTTCTTTTTATAATCGATTTTTTTCCTAAATCGACTCATTTTACAATCGATTCTTTTTTTACAATCGATTTATTTTTTGATCGATTCTTTGTTACGATCGATTATTTTTTAAATATTTTTTTACAATTGATTCTTTTTCCAATTAAACTTTTATTGACATAATTTTGAGATAAAAATAGAAGACGGAATGATTTTTATAATTTATGGTATAACGTAATCGATTGTTTCGATTCTTTTACAATCGATATTTTTGCATTTGTTTATATACTCGGTTTTTTCAAAATCGATTCTTTTTTACTGTTGATTTTTTTTACAATCGATTTTTTTTCTTAAATCGACTTATTTTACAATTATCTTTTTGTACAATCGATTTTTTTTACAATCGATTTTTCTTACAATCGATTCTTTTTTATAATCGATTATTTTTAAATCGACTCTTATTTTACAATTGATTCTCTTTTACAATCGATTCTTTTTTATAATCGGTTTTTTTACAAAACATTTTTTACCATCTATTCTATTTACAATTGATTCTATTTACAATCGATTCTATTTACAATGGATTATTTTTTTTTACAATCTATTCATTTATACAAACGATTTTTTTATAATCGATCCCTTCTTACAATCGATTATTTTTTATTATCGATTATTTTTTATAATCGATTCTTTTTTACAATCGATTCTTTTTTATAATCGATTATTTTTAAATCGATTTTACAATAGTTTTTTTGCAATCGATTTTTTTACCATCGATTATTTTTAAATCGATACTCTTACAATCGATTCATTTTTACAATCAATTCTTTTTTATAATCGATTATTTTTTATTATCGATTATTTTTTAATCGAATATTTTTTAAATCGATTCTTTTTTACAATCGATTCTTTTTACAATCGGTTTTTTTTACAAAAGATTTTTCTATCGATTATATTTAATCGATTCTATTTACAATCGATTCATTTTTACAAACGATTCTTTTTTATAATCAATTCCTTTTTACAATTGATTCTTTTTTATAATCGATTATTTTTTATTATCGATTATTTTTTAATCGAATATTTTTTAAATCGATTCTTTTTTTACAATCGATTTTTTTTTTACAGTTGATATATTTTTATAATCGATTCCTTTTTACAATCGATTCTTTTATACAATAGTTTTTTTTGCAATCGATTTTTTACCATCGATACTATTTACAATCAATTATTTTTTACCGTTGATTATTTTTTTTACAATCGATTCTATTTATAATTGATTATTTTTTACGATCGATTCATTTTTATAATCGATTATTTTTTTTACAATCGATTCATTTTTACAATCGATTCTTTTTCATAATCGATCCTAACTGTTATTTTTTACAAGTGCTATTTTATAGCATCGATTTTCTTAACCAATTTTTTATAGATGTTTTACTTGCTGACTTATTGACAGATAATTTTTTACATAAAAATAGTAGGGCTTGATCAATTTTTATAATTTATTGCATCGTTTTTTAAGTTACGTTTTTGAGATAGTTTTGATCTTAATCAGTAAGTTATAAGCATATGAAATAAAAATTTCTCAATTTAATTTTGGTGATAACTTTTTAGACTCGTCATTTATTTTTAAAGGTATTTAATACTATTCCTGGCAGAATTTTTTAAATTAGCTGTCAAGTCAATAAATTTACGCTCTTACAGCCCTTGGAAAGGAGTAAATTCTACATTATTTTCAGGCGCAAGATGTAGAAGAGGCAGCGTACATTCAATCGCTGACATCCACTCGCTCTCTCTTAATTCTTTAAAAATCGCCGAAAGCGAAGAAGTTTTGATCGAAACCGACCAAAAATCCAACGTTCTAACCTACGAAACCAAAAAGAAAGTATTAAAACAAATAAAATCCGTGATAGAAGGTCGTCAAAAGCAAATCGGCGACTTAGAGCAGACGATCAAAGTCAAACAAAACTTAATGCAGCAGCTGTTGCAGCACAAAGACACCCAATCGAACGCCTTAGTCAAAATCGAACAAAACTATCACAGATTGAAGAACGATTTTGACAGCACCGAAGCCAAAATGTTACAAGCTCAAAGCCAGAAGAATCACTATTTAGAAGAACAGTACAAATCCGAATTGGAACAATTAGAGATCAAGTTGAACAATTCGAAATCATTGAAGGACCATATTACAGAGGATGGAAAAAAATGTTCTGAATTAAAAGCTAGTTTAGAAGCGTCTAAAAAGCAATTGGATAAATTGAAGAAGTATAAAAAGAAGGAGGAAAAGAGAAAACAAACGTACGAGTCTCAAATTAAACACGAAGCTAACAAAATGAGTAAATCAAAAGAAAGTTCTAGCAGCGAAAAAAATAAAAGCTCAGATAATAATCTACAATTAGTCATTTGCTCAAATAAAAACAAACCAAATAAACTACCGGTACCGATCAATTCCGAAGAATTAGAATGCCTCAGGCACGAAATACGAAATTTAAGAAAAACCAGAGATTTCCTTCTAGAACAAAAATTAAAAATGGACATCAAATCGCAACACAAGAAAATCATGAACGAAATCGAAGAAAGGAAGTTGTTTCAATACGAGGAAGCCATCGAGGCGATCGATTTGGCTATCGAATATAAGAACGAGATCATGTGCGGGCACGTTCCTGTCAGCGAAATGGCTTTGGAGATTGTCGAAGAGCAAGAGGATACGTTGTTGATGGATAGGTTGATGAAGCTTAGCGAGAATGAGATGAGGATTCTTTTGCATAAGTATTTCCAAAAGGTAAGTGACTAAACATTATTGAAATAACAGTCGATTATTTTGTTTATTAATACTTTTTACTATCGATTTTGTTTACTAATGCTTTTTACAATAGATTATTTCTTTACCATTAATACTCGAATCTTTTACAGTCGATTTTTTTACAAATGACTTTTCAGTATTGACGCTTTTTTACTAATAATACTTAAAAGTATCATAAACACAGTCAATTATTTTGTTTACTAATAGTTTTTACATTCGATTTTGTTTACTAATACAGTTACAATCGATTATTTCTATACAATCAATACTTTTTACAATATTTGAATCTCTTACAGTCGATTTTTTACAATTGATATTTCACAATCGACTTGTTTACTAATAATACTAAAAAATATTGTAAAATCAGTCGATTGTTTTGTTTATTAATACTTTTTACAGTCTATTTTGTATACTAATACATTTACAATCGATTATTTCTTAACAATAAATACTTTTTACAATATTCAAATCTCTTACAGTCGATTTTTTACAATTGATTTTTCACAATCGACTTTTTTACTAATAATACTAAAACGTATTGCAAAATCAGTCGATTGTTTTGTTTATTAATACTTTTTACAATTTATTTTGTTTACTAATACAGTTACAATTGATTATTTCTTTACAATCAATACTTTTTACAGTAATCGAATATTTTAAGGTCGATTTTTAAAATTTATTTTACACATTCGAAGTTTTTTTACTAATAATACTAAAAAGTATTGTAAAATCAGTCGATTGTTTTGTTTATTAATACTGTTTATAATCTATTTTGTTTACTAATACATTTACAATTGATTATTTCTTTACAATATTCGAATTCTTTACAATCGACTTTTTTACTAATAATACTAAAAAGTATTGTAAACATAGTCGATTATTTTGTTTACTAATACATTTACAATTGATTATTGCTTTACAATAAATACTTTTCATATTCAAATCTCTTACATTCGATTTTTTACAATTGATATTTCACAATCGACTTTTTTACTAATACATTTACAATCGATTATTTCTTTACAATTGATATTTCACAGTCGACTTTTTTTACTAATAATACTAAAAAGTATTATAAAATCAGTCGATTGTTTTGTTTATTAATACTTTTTACAATCTATTTTGTTTGCTAATACATTTACAATCGATTATTTCTTTACAATTAATACTTTTTACAATATTTGAATCTCTTACAGTGGATTTTTATAATTGATTTTTCATAATCGACTTTTTTTTACAAATAATACTAAAAAGTATTGTAAAATCAGTCGATTGTTTTGTTTATTAATACTTTTTTCAATCTATTTTGTTTACTAATACATAAACAATCGTTTATTTCTTTACAATAAATGTTTTTTACAATATTCCAATCTCTTACAGTCGATTTTTTACAATTGATATTTCACAATCGACTTTTTTACTAATAATACTAAAAAGTATTGTAAAATCAGTCGATTGTTTTGTTTATTAATACTTTTTAGTCTATTACGTAAACTAATACATTTACAATCGATTATTTCTTTACAATTAATACTTTTTACAATATTCGAATCTCTTACAGTCTATCGTTTACAATTGATATTTCACAATCGACTTTTTTTACTAATAATACTAAAAAGTATTGTAAAATCAATCGATTGTTTTGTTTATTAATACTTTTTACAATCTATTTTGTTTACTAACCCAGACAGCACACCAAATCCTTTGGATATCTACTGAACATCCCAATATCCACTGAATGTCCAGTCCATGGTGGATATCTATTTTATATCCATGAAATGTAATTTATAGACATGCAAATGTCCATAAATAATTGTAATTATAGCAAATTATTAAAAAATTACGCCATTGTACTCGCCATTGTGGCTAATAGTACCGTTGAGATATTTAAAATTAATTTTTTTTAAGGTGTATTCAATATCCCATGGACATCCACTATAAATATAAATATATCAAAGTCTAAGCGCGGACGCAAACCATCGTGGATATCTACTAGATGTAATTTTTGATTTTGCTTCCTAAGTATAGATGGCGATACCACTTTCGTATCTACTCATGCTTAACCCGCCGTAATTGAGTTTGATCGACATTGTTTCACAAACAGACTTCATTAGAGACTGAAGTCGAGAAGTTCCATTTATTGCTGAAGATTCCTAATAAGGATGATTTTCTCCTTAGTAGGCAAAATCAAAGGCAGATTGTTGGGAATATTTTTTACCTCTATTTTCTTTCGACGTTATTCAATAACCATTGGTTACTTATGAACCTCTACTAAAAATAATTATAAAATATTTATCTGAATTTCTATATCCTGGGATATAGACGGACATTTGGTTGGATATCCACAAAATATATTCTATGGATATATCTGGGATTTCTTGTATTGTCTGGAGATACTCTTTAGATATTTTGCTGAATATCCATAGGATATCTTCTATATTCTGGATATAGACGGACATTTGGATATCCATATTAGTTCCACGGAATATTTCTGATATCCTGTGGATATATTGGATATCCACAAAATATATTCTGTGGATATCTCTGGGACTTGGTGTGTTGTCTGGGAATATATTTATAATCGATTATTTACAATCAATACTTTTTACAATACTCGAATTTTCTACAGTCGATTTTTTACAATCGGCTTTTTTTACTAATAATACTAATGTAAAAACAGTCGATTTTTTTACTTATACTTTTACAATTCTTTTTTTTTACTAATAGTTTTTATAATCAATTATTTTTTTGCTAATAATACGTTTTACAGTTGATTACTTTGTCTACTAATTATTTTTTACAATCGATTATTTTGTTTACAATTCATTATTTTGTTTACAAATAATTACTTTCTACAATTGATTTTTTTTTTCATTCGATTATTTTTTACAATCGATCTTATATTTACAGTTGATTCTTTTTAAAATCAATTCTTGTACTAATAATACTTTCTACAATCGATTATTTTTTAATAATACTTCTTTCTACTATCGAATCTTTTTACTAATAATATTTTTTACAGTCGGATTTTTTTACAATCGATTCTATTTACCATCCATCAATTATTTATAATAATAAATAATTTTACAAATTGATTCACTTTTTACAATCGATTATGTTTACTACTTTTTACAATTAATTTTCTTTTCATTCGATTATTTTTTTTTTTTCATTCGAGTTTACAATCAATTCTTGTACTAATACTTTTTACAATCGATTCTTTTTTACTAATAACACTTGTTACAATCGATATTTTCCAGTTGATTTTTTTACGTTTTGTAACGATACTTTTTAGAATCGAATATTTTTACCATCTGTGGATAATTTTTTTACAATAGGTAATTTTTACAATGAATTCTTTCATTAATACTTTTTACAACCGATTTATTTTTACTGATTTTATTCAATTGATACCTCTTTTATAGAATCTTTTAATTATTAATGTAGTTCACAATTCTTGTTACAATCAATTATTTTACCAATAATACTTATTACAATCGATACATCGATTTTTTTAATTATTTTTTACAATCGTTTTTTTTTTTTGTTTACTAATACTATTTACAGTTGATTATTTTTTTACAATCTTTACTATTAGTATAAATCACAATAGTCTTTTGTTACTAATAATACTTCTTATAATCGATTATTTTGTATACAAATACTTTTTACAATCGATTATTTTGTATACAAATACTTTTTACAATCTCTTATTTTGTTTACTAATATTTTTAACTGTTATTTTGTTTACTAATACTTTTTACAATCGGTTTTTTTGTTTACTAATACTATTTACAGTTGATTATTATTTTACAATCTTTACTATTAGTATAAATCACAATGGAGTCTTTTATTACTAATAATACTTCTTATATACAAATACTTTTTACAATCGATTTTTTTTTTTGTTTACTAATGCTATTTACAGTTGATTATTTTTTTACAATCGTTATTAGTATAAATCACAATAGAGTCTTTTGTTACTAATAATACTTCTTATAGTCGATTATTTTGTGTACAAATAATTTTAACAATCTCTTATTTTGTTTACTAATATTTTTAACTGTTATTTTGTTTACTCAAACTTTTTACAATCTTTTTCTTCGTGTACTAATACTATTTACAGTTGGTTATTTTTTTACAATCTACTATTAGTATAAATCACAATAGAGTCTTTTGTTACTAATAATACTTCTTATAGTCGATTATTTTGTATACAAATACTTTTTACAATCGATTATTTTGTTTACTAATACTCTTTACAGTCTTTTTTTTTTGTTTACTAATACTATTTACAGTTGATTATTTTTTTACAATCGTTATTATTAGTATAAATCACAATAGTCTTTTGTTATTAATAATACTTCTTATTTTGTATACAAATACTTTTTACAATCTCTTATTTTGCTTACTAATATTTTTAACTGTTATTTTGTTTACTAATACCTTTTACAATCGGTTTTTTTTGTTTACTAATACTATTTACAATTGATTATTTTTTTACAATCGATTCTTTTTTACTATTAATACTATTTACAATCGATACTTTTTGCTATCGAATTTTTTTACGTTAATATTTTTTACAATCAATTCTTTATTCGTTATTCTGTTATGACGTTTATGTCATTAAGGTTTTACATGTGGATGCAAATTAGATTATTAAAAATATAATTTTCAAATATCTCGTCTTCAGGTGGTAGATTTACGAAGTAGCAGCAAGAAATTGGAAATGCAAGTAATCGAATATGAAAATCAAAACGAAAATCTTGCCGGTCGTTTACAAAACCTCAGCCATACTCTTCACCAAGTCAGATTAGAAGGCGAAAGACGAATGGTGCAACAACAGCAACAACACGAAGACAAAATTCATCTGGTGCTGAGGCATTTGGCGAACGAAAATCCTCGGGATTCCAATCAAGTGATACCAAGACTGATAGGTAATTTTTATTGCATCCGATTTGACTATTTAGATACTAGTATTACAGTCTGTTGCAGAAACAACATTTAAATTTTAAAATTATTTTTAGATTTTTGATTAGATACTTTTTATCATTTATTCTCTTTTTTTCGAACCTACGTTTTTTTGCAATCTATTCTTTTTTTACAATCGATTATTTTTTTACAATCGATTCTTTTTTTATATTCTATACCTTTTACAATTTATTTTTTTTTTAAAACAATTTCTTTACATCGCTTTTTTCCTTAATTTCTTTACAATCCATTATTTTTACATTACGTTTTGAAATTGATTTTTTTTTTCACTATCAATTTTTTTTTTTTTGGAATATTTTTTACAATTGATTCTTTTTGTTTATAATCGATTCTTTTTTTACAATAGATTATTTTTTACAATCGATTATTTTTTTACAATCGATTCTTTTTTTTATATTCTATACTTTTTACAATTGATTCTTTTTAAATCAGTTTCTTTACAATCGATTTTTCCCTTAATTTTTTTACAATCGATTATTTTTACATTACGTTTTGAAATTGATTTTTTCACTATCAATTTTTTTATTGCATATTTTTTACAATTGATTCTTTTTGTTTACAATCGATTCTTTTACAATTTATTCTTTTTGTTTACAATCGAATATTTTTGTATACAATCGATTATTTTTGTTTACAATCGATTATTTTTGTTTACAATCGATTCTTTTACAATTTTTTTGAATCGATTATTTTTTTACAATAGATTCTTTTTGTTTACAATCAATTCTTTTTGTATACAATCGAGCATTTTTGTTTATAATCGATTATTTTTGTTTACAATCGATTCTTTTACAATTTTTTTTTCAATCTATCATTTTTTACAATCGATTCTTTTTTATATTCTATACTTTTTACAATTGATTCTTTTCAAATCAATTTCTTTACAATCGATTATTTTTGTATACAATCGAGTATTTTTGTTTACAATCGATTATTTTTGTTTACAATCGATTCTTTTGCAATTTTTTTTCAATCTATTATTTTTTTACAATCGATTCTTTTTTATATTTTATACTTTTTACAATTGATTCTTTACAATCGATTTTTTCCTTAATTTCTTTACAAGCGATTTTTTCCTTAATTTCTTTACAATCGATTATTTTTACATTACGTTTTGAAATTGATTTTTTATTCACTATCAATTTTTTTATTGAATATTTTTTACAATTGATTCTTTTTGTTTAGAATCGATTCTTTTACAATCTATTCTTTTTGTTTACAATCGATTATTTTTGTATACAATCGATTATTTTTGTTTACAATCGATTATTTTTCTTTATAATCGATTATTTTTGTTTACAATCGATTGTTTTACTTTTTTTTTTAATCTATTATTTTTTTACAATCGATTCTTTTTGTTTACAATCGATTCTTTTTGTATACAATCGAGTATTTTTGTTTATAATCGATTATTTTTGTTTACAATCGATTCTTTTACAATTTTTTTCAATCTATTATTTTTTACAATCGATTATTTTTTATATTCTATACTTTTTACAATTGATTCTTTTCAAATCAATTTCTTTACAATCGATTATTTTTGTATACAATCGAGTATTTTTGTTTATAATCGATTATTTTTGTTTACAATCGATTCTTTTGCAATTTTTTTTCAATCTATTATTTTTTTACAATCGATTCTTTTTTTTTACAATCGATTCTTTTTTATATTTTATACTTTTTACAATTGATTCTTTACAATCGGTTTTTTCCTTAATTTCTTTACAATCGATTTTTCCTTAATTTCTTTACAATCGATTATTTTTACATTACGTTTTGAAATTGATTTTTTTAACTATCTGTTTTTTTAGTAAATATTTTTTACAATTGATTCTTTAGGTTTACAATCGATTGTTTTACAATCGATTGTTTTACAATCGATTGTTTTACAATCGATTGTTTTACAATCGATTATTTTTTTACAATCGGTTCTTTTTTATAGTCGACTCTTTTTATATTTTAAACTTTTTACAATTGATTCTTTTTAAATCAATTTCTTTACAATCGATTTTTTCCTTAATTTCTTTACAATCGATTATTTTTACATTACGTTTTGAAATTGATTTTTTTTCACTATCTGTTTTTTTATTGAATATTTTTTATAATTGATTCTTTAGGTTTACAATCGATTGTTTTACAATTTATTCTTTTTTACAATCGATTCTTTTTTTACAATCGATTTTTCTTTACAATCGATTCTTTTTTTACAATTGTTTTTTACATTCTATACTTTTTACAATTGATTCTTTTTAAATCAATTTCTTTACATCGATTTTTTCCTTAATTTCTTTACAATCGATTATTTTTACATTACGTTTTGTTTCACTATCAATTTTTTTATTGAATATTTTTTACAATTCATTCTTTATGTTTACAATCGATTCTTTTACAATCGACTCTTTTTTACATTCTATACTTTTTACAATTGATTTTTCTTAAATCAATTTTTTTACAATCGACTATTTTTACATTACGTTTTGTAATTAAATTTTTTTCACCATCAATTTTTTATTGAATATTGTTTACAATCGATTTTTTACAATCAATTCCTTAGTGCAATAGATTCTTTTTTACAATCGATTATTTTTTTAGCTTAGTTCTTTACAGATTTTTTTACTATCAATTCCTTCTTACAATCGATTCTCTTTTTACAATCGATGCATCTTTTTAGTCACTTTCTTTACAATCGATACTTTATTTAGGAAATAAACTGATACCAAGGTCAGTAGGAGGTGGCGGCAAACCAGTGGGCAAAAGCAGCAGCTTGATAACGAGAATCACCAGCATAGCCAGACACGAAATCGTTCCGAGACAATTACAATCTGTGATTCCAGCACCACAGGCGAAAATTACCAGACAAAAGAACAAATTGATCATACAACAAACCAACAACAAGTAGAATAGGATATTATAATGACAGTATACAGAGCGAGAAAAAATTTAATCAAAACATTATGGAGATACGAAATTGGTTAAATAGGAAAAAAATCGTCTGGAAATGGCGCGTATTTTTCCAATTTAACGAAATTTGTATCTTTTATTAATGTTTAATTAAATTCTCGCCACTCTGTATAGTTTTTTCAAAGCTTTAAACTATAAATCGATGATATTAAGTACGCTAAAGATTTGCAGTTCGTTTTCTAGATCCAGAAAAACGTTCAGGCAAAATTCCCCCTCATTTCCCCACAATTTCTTCCAGTTCCCCACAATATTCTCAACTTTCCTTACAATTCCCCTAAAATTCCTTACAATTTTCCTAAATTTCCTTCTCATTCCCCTCAGCTTTACCAAATTCCCCACAATTTTCTCGATTCCACCATAATTCTCCAACAATTCCCCCACAAGTCTCCAAAATTCCCCAAATTTCCACGAATCCCCCCTCATTCCCACAATTTTCCTCTGTTAGGCGTTTGAGAATTGAATTCTCCAATAAATCAGTATTTTAATATTATTCTAGGAATGTAAAAATAAAAAAAAATAATGGATGATACAATTAGGATTAGTTTGCAAGCAAAGACTTGCGAACTATAAAGTGGCTCTAATAATTGATTTTGCCGTGTGTATGGGTTGAAAAACAATGCACTATATTTTAATTTTATTAAGCATTTAATACATGACATTTCGATGCAAAAACAAAATGTACATTTTTTTAAAGAAACAATTTTTCATTAAATTTGAACATAAAACTCCATATTATACATATAAAAAGCGTAATTTATTTAATTTGTGATATTTTTTATTATTGTAAATAAACGACTTGTGAGATAATTAGTGATTTTTTGTTCGTACGTCCTAAATGTTTCTAATAAATTAATTAATAATTGATAATAATTAACCAACGAAAGTAACGAACAGCGCCAATTCGCCAGTTGGTTACCTTACTATGTTGATTCCACATATACTTTGTTTCAAAACTTGTAGAATGGGTTGCTTAGTATATAGGTGTCCCCTCTTGGGTTAACGAAAACTGTATTCACTAGGGATGTGCACGAGCTTGTAAAGTTCGAGCGCTCGCGATCAAGCTCGAAAAATTGTAGCTTGAGCACGCTAGGTAGGAATATGTAACCAGTCATAAACTCGGTCCATCTAAGCAATGGAGTGCTCGAAAACATTATCACACCTTGTACACGTGATCTCTCTGACGAGGCTGCTTTTACAGAGTCACACAAAAGGGGCGTTTGATTTGAAACTCGATCGAGCGAGCGTCGAGGAGACCGAGAAGTGATGACGTCACAATAGAGCATTGAATCAAATCAAATAAAACAGAGTAAAAAACATAACCTCGCTTTTTTGTGATTCTGGTTTGTGTGTCAAAATCACAGGTCAAAATAGTGAGCAAAAAGTAAAGAAAATGGAAAAAATTTTAATAATAAAGGGTAATGGCCCTGAAATGCAGCATATACCATAAATGCCCGCTTCGCTCTCATACTACATGCCTGTGATTACTGGTGATTAGATCTGGATAGAGAAAATGTATTTTCCAAACACACATTTTGTGTTTTTTATGACGAATAATTTTAGCTATAAGACAAAAGCGGCTAAGTAATTTGTTGACTTCTTGTCTGGTCTTTAATTTGGAGATTCAAATTTATTTGTAAGTTAGTTAAAAAGAGATAGGTAGAGACAAAGACAAATTTTTCCCTCTTCTTGATCCATCTGCTCTGAGAAGATCGAGCTCGCTCTATGTTCTCGCTCCAAAGGAAAACAAACACTTTAGGGATCTCTCGGAGTGTCAATTCAAACACGTTCGCAGCGCTCGGAGATCTCCGATGATCAAATCAAACGCACCATAAGGGTCGATCGAGGTTTTATTAATTTTATTAAATAATATGCGACTAGGTATGGAAAAATTACTCAAATTTTAACTAATGAAGAAAAATATTTAACATTTAATGAACTACAAAAAAAATGTGGACATTTTATTTCATCAGGACAAACAGGTAAACGTTTTTCAACTCCAAAATGATGTTCATTTAATAATTAGCGTATAAATAATAAAAATATTATAATAAATCTATTTGTCATTTTAGACCGGTTACTCAATGTCTGAAGAATTGCTACTAGAAGAATCATCATTTAAACTAATTATCAACTGATTTCTATCAACTAATTCATCCATTAGATGGTCTAGCTCGAGCCGAGCCGATACGCGAGGCGCTCGAACCGAATATTATACAGGAGTCGCTCGGGCATCGTACTGTTCGGAGCTCCGCTCGAGCAATACAAGCAAGAACCGAGCCTGCTCGATCAAGCTCGTGCACATTCCTAGTATTCACCAGTTGGTTAACTTACTTAATTCCTTAGTTAATAATAATCGAATTATTCCATAAATTCACCTAAAGGTAGAGCCGGATGGATAGTTTAAAATGCCCTCTGCGGCTTGCCTCTATCTTGAGCCGTTTAGTAGTTATTCACATTTAAAAATAAGTCAAATACCTTGTCGCGTTTCTGCTATCCTATTACCAAAATTTTATTGACAAAATTGGATCTTTTCGAATTCGAAACTTTGTATCAGGATAAAAGTTAAGATACGTTTATCTACAAGAATTTAGGTAAGGAAAGTGGATGAGAAATGACTGACAAAATTGAAAAAGCCATCTATGAGCAAATAATTAAACTATTGTTGGCCATCTACTAGCGAATAGAGGAAACTTTATAGAAGAAAACTTCGCTAATAAATAATTCTTACAACTATAGGCAGCCAACATAACACACTCGTGTGTTCTGTGTTGCCCGACAACAAGACTAATGCATATAAACTTTATTACAAAAGGGAAAAGGTATGGAACATTTTTATTTTTGCTCAGATCTATATGAAATTTAGCACAACGTTACAGTATTTAATTTAAAATGTCTGACAGGTATCTGTTTCTCTTTATCTTCAATAATTTTTGTTAAATGAGCAACAACTTTTTACATATTGCTGTTAGCAAAAAACTGAGTATATTTTTGAGCTCTAGATGTGACATTCTATGCGTATGCAGATTTTAAACCTTTTTTATTTTTTCAAAAAAATCGAAAGGGTATAGCCTTCCAAATTTTTCGACAAAAAATTTTTTTGTCTCCGATCTTGATGAAAATTGGGGTACACATAAAGGAAAGCACGAGCAATTAAGGGGTGAACTCAGTTGCTCCCTAGCTATAAGGGTTAACTTTTTTTTCTTAATTCCTCAGTTAATAATGATCGAATTTCTCCATAAATTCACATGAAGGTAGAGCCGGACGGATAGTTTAAAATGCTCTATGGTGCTTGTCTCTATCTTAAGCCGTTTAGTAGTTATTCGTCTTTAAAAATATGTCAAATACCTTGTCGCGTTTCTGCTATCCTATTACCAAAATTTTATTGACAAAATTGGATCTTTTCGAATTCGGAACTTTGTATCAGGATAAAAGTTAAGATACGTTTATCTACAAGAATTTAGGTAAGGAAAGTGGATGAGAAATGACTGACAAAATCAAAAAAGCCATCTATGAGCAAATAATTAAACTATATTGTTGGCCATCTACTAGCGAATAGAGGAAACTTTATAGAAGAAAACTTCGCTAATAAATGGTTCTTACAACTATAGGCAGCCAACATAACACACTCGTGTATTCTGTGTTGCCCGACAACAAGACTAATGCATATAAACTTTATTACAAAAGGGAAAAGGTATGGAACATTTTTATTTTTGCTCAGATCTATATGAAATTTAGCACAACGTTACAGTATTTAATTTAAAATGTCTGGCAGGTATCTGTTTCTCTTTATCTTCAATAATTTTTGTTAAATGAGCAACAACTTTTTACATATTGCTGTTAGCAAAAAACTGAGTATATTTTTGAGCTCTAGATGTGACATTCTATGCCTATGCAGATTTTAAACCTTTTTTATTTTTTCAAAAAAATCGAAAGGGTATAGCCTTCCAAATTTTTTGACAAAAATTTTTTTTGTCTCCGATCTTGATGAAAATTGGGGTACATATAAAAGAAAGCACGAGCAATTAAGGGGTGAACTCAGTTGCTCCCTAGCTATAAGGGTTAACTTTTTTTCTTAATTCCTCAGTTAATAATGATCGAATTTCTCTATAAATTCACATGAAGGTAGAGCCGGACGGATAGCTTAAAAGGCCCTCTGCGGCTTGCCTCTATCTTGAGCCGTTTAGTAGTTATTCAAATTTAAAAATAAGTCAAATACCTTGTCGCGTTTCTGCTATCCTGATACCAAAATTTTATTGACGAAATTGGATCTTTTCGAATTCGGAACTTTGTATCAGGGTAATAGAAACGCGAGGAGATATCGAAATTTTTTATTTTTGCTCATATCTTTACGAAATTTGGCACACAGGTACAGTATTTCATTTAAAATGTCTGGCAGGTGTCTGCTTCTCTCTATCTACGATACTTTTTGCAAAATGACCTACAACTTTTTACATATTGCTGCTAGAAGAAAACTGAGTATATTTTTGAGATCTACATGTGACCTTCTATCCGTACACAAATTTAAATTGTTTTTTATTTCTTCAAAAAAATCGAAAGGGTATAGTCTTCAAAATTTTTTGGCAAAAAATTTTTTTGTCTCCGATCTTGATTAAAATTGGGGTACATATAAAAGAAAGCACGAGCAATTAAGGGGTGAACTCAGTTGCTCCCTATCTATAAGGGTTAACTTTTTTTTCTTAATTTCTCAGTTAATAATGATCGAATTTCTCCATAAATTCACGTGAAGGTAGAGCCGGACGGATAGTTCAAAATGCCCTTTGCTGCTTGCCTCTATCTTAAGCCGTTTAGTAGTTATTCGCATTTAAAAATATGTCAAATACCTTGTCGCGTTTCTGCTATCCTAGTACCAAAATTTTATTGACAAAATTGGAACTTCTCGAATTCGGAACTTTGTATCAGGATAAAAGTTAAGATACGTTTATCTACAAGAATTTAGGTAAGGAAAGTGGATGAGAAATGACTGACAAAATTAAAAAAGCCATCTATGAGCAAATAATTAAACTATATTGTTGGCCATCTACTAGCGAATAGAGGAAACTTTATAGAAGAAAACTTCGCTAATAAATGGTTCTTACAACTATAGGCAGCCAACATAACACACTCGTGTGTTCTGTGTTGCCCGACAACAAGACTAATGCATATAAAGTTTATTACAAAAGGGAAAAGGTATGGAACATTTTTATTTTTGCTCAGATCTATATGAAATTTAGCACAACGTTACAGTATTTAATTTAAAATGTCTGGCAGGTATCTGTTTCTCTTTATCTTCAATACTTTTTGTTAAATGAGCAACAACTTTTTACATATTGCTGTTAGCAAAAAACTGAGTACATTTTTGAGCTCTAGATGTGACATTCTATGCGTATGCAGATTTTAAACCTTTTTTATTTTTTCAAAAAAATCGAAAGGGTATAGCCTTCAAAATTTTTTGGCAAAAAATTTTTTTGTCTCCGATGTTGATGAAAATTGTGGTACATATAAAGGAGAGCACGAGTAATTAAGGGGTGAACTCAGTTGCTCCCTAGCTATAAGGGTTAACTTTTTTTTCTTAATTCCTCAGTTAATAATGATCGAATTTCTCTATAAATTCACATGAAGGTAGAGCCGGACGGATAGTTTAAAAGGCCCTCTGCGGCTTGCCTCTATCTTGAGCCGTTTAGTAGTTATTCAAATTTAAAAATAAGTCAAATACCTTGTCGCGTTTCTGCTATCCTGATACCAAAATTTTATTGACGAAATTGGATCTTTTCGAATTCGGAACTTTGTATCAGGATAATAGAAACGCG